GAGAGTGTGTATGTAAAAGTCACTGAAATCTACCCCTCTATTATTAACTGTTGTTATATATTCTTCAAACATCTTTTTAAAATTATTTTAATTAATTTTTTAATTAGGAAGAGTTTGTTACATGTCAAAGAAAAATGTAATATGAGCTATAAAGATTTGCAGTTAGGTTTTAGTTTGCTGTGTGTGACCTTGTTTATTTGCTTTTTAACCTGTCAGCTTACTTAATATTCTCTTTCCAACATTTACCTTTTTTATAGGAATAGTACTTTTTTTTTTTGTAATTTGTTCAACAGAGATTTTATTTTGATCCAAGTATTAAACATAAAACAAAGTAAGTTTTATATAATTATCTGAGTTCATTAAATAATATTATGGAGTTTTCATTATGTCCTTGGGAAGTTTTTTAGATATTTTTGCAGCTCATGTATGAGATCTCTTCTGTATTTTATGTTATATTCTAGCATGTGACTGCCTGCCTTAGAACTATGGATAGGAAGAGAAATCAATATTACCTTTTAAAAAACATTTTATTTTATAAAATAAATTTTTTCATTAATACTTTTTTAATATTTGAGAAGTAAAGATGAAGGGGTGGCAAATTCCATAGGTTTGAACATAGTATAACATTCAGACAGTAGAGAATGAAGATCAAGTATCTATTTATAAATCTGTTAGAATCGTGAACAGTATAGAGCAGTGGCTCTCAAACTTTAGCAAGCATCAGAATTAACCAAAAGGTCGGCAGTTCAAATCCACCAGGCGCTGCTTGGAAACTGTATGGGGCAGTTCTACTCTGTCCTATAGGGTCTCTGTAAGTTGGAATCGACTCAACGGCAACAGGTTTCGTTTTATTTGGTTTTGCACTCCATCCCAAGAGTTTAACAGTGGTACTTTTGATGCCTCTCAATTTGAATAACAAGGAACCTAGAAAATTATTGTTCTGCTCCAATGATTTTAAAGCCTCATTTCTATTAAATTTCTTCTGTGTTCAGTCTTGTTCACATTGGTTTTTAGGTACAGAGTCTAAAATTCTTCATCACTTACACCAGTTTTTCTCAACCTTGACTACTCTTTAGAATTTTAAAAATGCTAAGCTCACCTAGAACAAATAAATAAGAATCTCTGGGGGTAGGGCCCAGGCATCTATATTTTTTAAAGTTTCCAGGTGATTCTAATAGGCCAGCAAGGTAGAGAACCACTGACTTACACAATTTGCATACAATATGTGGTGGTATTCCACTTTTCAAAAACTAACCCCAAATTGAGATTTGACTTTAAAGTTAAAATTTCACTACTTCTAGTTCTAGTTCATTCTCATTTACTCCACCAATATTGATAGTGCACTTACTATGTTCCAGTCACTCTACTTACTAGACATTGGCTAGCCAGCAGTGAACAAGACCCAGCCCCTGGCCTAAGGAGCTGAGAGCACTGTGTCCTTAGTAGAGCCTCAAAAATACCTATTGCTTTGATGCTTTTGCAGGTATTTTGGAACCAGATTATTCCTCATTTTTATGCACAGAGAATTACAGAATGGTCTGGAAGTCCAAAAAGAGGAACTAAACTGTAGACCAAACATTGAGGGACGTCAGCGTTTCCCACCTTTGCAGGTTTTGTCTAATGCACATTTCACTTGTAACTAGAATTTACTTATTATTCTTCTAAACTCACTTTATTTTTTTTACTTAGATGTAAACTGAAAGGAAAACTTTATATCACTGCTAGAATTTAAAAAAAAAAAAAACCCGTAACTAAAAACTGTTCATCTGCATACCTCATCTATGTAGCCTTATCTGTGTGATCCATCTTTGAACCACCAGTGACATGTATACCCCACTTTGGGAAGAATTGATTTCAGGGTTTTTTGTTTTTGTTGTTTTGCCATAGGCCCCGTTGACTATCTGGTAAATACTATTCTCCGAATAATTTTTTTAAATGCATGAAATAAAATAGAATTACCAAGTTTGCCTTGGTATCACGTGGTACCAAGTTCCTAGGCCCCCCAGTACTTTGCCAGGGACCTCAGATTAAGAATCCCTGCTATTTAATTAGCAAATGGAATAATGGTCTTTGAACCCAATTCTTTTCTTACTTAGATCAAGTGAATTTTTCCCTTTTCTTAGTTGCCTACTATATGATTAGCTCTTAGGGCCCCATTCTTTTAAGGGAGAAAGATGATCACAGTAGTTGCAATTTTCTTTATTTTCTAATTTCACTTTTGTATAAGAACATTTTGTATAAGCAACCATGCACACAGGCTGACCTTTTTACAGAGGTCATTTGGAGCATTTTTGCTAACCATTAACTATTTTGTTTACAACAAGACATTATCTTAAATATGTTTTGTCAGTCTCTGTGGTATAAGGTTAAGATCTGAGGGGCATCAACTTTGATAATTCTAGGCCTTAGCCTTTGATGTTTGTTCATTTGGATGTCTGGTTGACATCTATAATGCAACATGAGGTGATTAACTGCATTGTCTTCAGGATCCCCTTAGGGTCGAACATAAGATTCATAAACAAAACCAAAATTCTACCATGAAGAAATTCTAGTCATTAAATGATCCTGAGGACCAAATCATAGATCAGCTTGTGATGAAATAAGTGCTGTGCATCCTCACTTGTCCGGAGGTCCCGTGGTTGTCTATCAAATTAATCTATCAGAAACACAGCTGCCAGCCATAAAGTGAATTAGAAAGTCCTGTGAGCACCTGAAAGGACATGAACTGATACAGCCCATGCTCTTCATTCAGACCTTTTAAATTGAGTCTATTGACTCTTTCTTATTTTAGATGTTATTTTAACAAATTTAGTAATCAACTCTTTCAGCAGTCAATTGATTAGAAGGAACAAATCAGGAGGAGGATGCTTCTACTAAAGGCCATTCAGGTTGGGAAGAGACCAAATAAAATAACAATAACAAAATCTATTTTTACAAAGCAAACATGAGGATTTTAAAAGCCTGTAACTTTGGATCTGTTTACCATAAGGACAAGTGGTCGAACACACCTCAGAATTCCCCTGAAGACATCATTACTATAGCACTGTTTGATAGCGGTTATTTAGATTAATGCTTCTTTGTCAGCAAGCTCGGTATAATGTCTTTAGTGTGCTTCACCTAAGTTCATGTGTGTGTAATGTCTTGAGAATAAAGTCCATTGAAAGGTAATACTGCTTTCATCTTTAGCACTTACAGAGGAAGATATAATTTTTCCCCTGACATTACAGATTTACTTTGACGTAGTACCAGGAAGACACTGTGTGAGTAGTCAAATAAGAAAGTGAGAAAGAATGATGTACAATTCCAGAGATGGAATACTGTCTTCTAATCACCAATTTTTATGGTATAATTTGATTTCTTGAAAAAATGACCACTATATTAACATAGAAAAGCATGAAAGGGGTTTGGGAAGGGCAAAAAATTTCCATTTAAAAGTTAAATGTTTAAACTATTGATTTCTGTAATAATCATAGACCGTTAAATTTTATTTCAGCTGTGTATTTGTTAATGGACAATCTTTCAGTGTCTGTTACCCGACATTCCAGGTAGCAAAGCCAAAATCTCCAGAACCAGAAGCAACTCTGACATTTCCATTTCTGGACAAAATGCCTGAAACCAACCAACTACATTTGCCAAATCTCAATTCTCAAGGTAAAGAGAAGGAAATAATTTTATTTTAGTTCTACATGTTTTGTCTGGGCCCATCTGTAGTAAAATATTCTTTATTTTAAGAGAAGATTAGTTCCTTTATATTGACCTTCCTTTAACCCTGGTGTTTCCCAGAGTCCATGCTGGCTGAATCAGTAACTTCAGAATGGAAAGCTGGGCCTGTGTTCTCTCTTTGGCCTGGCTAGGAACCCCAGCTGCCAAGACCATTTTGTCAGTCAGGCAGAATAGGGCATTACACAGTGTTTGAGATGAAAATATTTCTGTTGGTCCCAAAATATAAAAAGACAGTTATAAAATCAAAATTAATAACTTTAATAAGGAGTTTATAATCTTAAAATTATGGCATTAATTGTTCATTCTAGTCTTCCTGAAATTTCCATTTAATTTAAACAAATTTTTTCTAAAAAAAAAAATCAGATGTTCTTAATTAATCCCTGGATGTACATGATGATTAATCATAGACTATCATAGACTAAACCTGTCACTCAGAGCCAAAAATTTTAATCTTTACAGAAAGGAAAAATATATGTGTATGTGTGTGTATGTGTGGTATGTGCTGAGGATGCATTTTAGTATGTTTCATGTTGGATGTATTTTAATACGCTTCATATATTTGATGTATTTTAATACATTGATACATTTTAATATGTTTAATATAATGTGGGGAGGGGTGTAGGGCCTACCATACTGTTTGATATGTGAAAGAATGGAAAATTTCAAGTCTATGAAGGTTATAAAATGGCACTGCCCTCCACAAACTCCCCAGGTATTTTTGGGCAAGTGACATCTAGGTTGTGACTTCATCTTTTTACTCTTTAAGAGCCCAACTTAAATCCCTTTATCTTGGTTAGAAACCTAGGTGCCCACAATCACCACAAAAGACCCTCAGGGATTCAGACAGTGTGAATTCCATGATCCAATGGAGGCTGTTGTTTAAAACAGATAGACCACTGGGTTTTATTGGTGTGAATTGTCTTTCTAGATGCAGAAACATCTATAGTTCAGGAGGCAAGAACTGTAAGGGGTTTTTGTTGTTGTTTTTGTTGTTTTAGTTCCTTTCTCCAGTATATTTTGTAGATTTAATTTATCAGTTCAGGCAGAGAGAGGATGGTATAGATGTACTGTGGCTGCACATTTATTTTTACATCCTTTTTCCTGGATAGGTACCTATTTGGGACCACTATTGGCAGAATCTGATTTGGCTTCCATAACCAATGGTTGAGAGAGAAGCTCGGATCTATTTCTATAACAGGAAGATCTTGGGAGGGAATTAACTGGTATATGTACTGGTGGTCACTAGTTTCTTAATATGGAATCAAGTTAAATCGTGTCTTCAACGCATTTGTTTCAAATTTCTCAGTTCTAATGTCCTGAAGGAAACTGACAAAAATAAATAAATTCTCACAACTGGGACAACAATTGACCATTTTTAGACAGATTTTAGTTCTGCCCTATTTCTAGCACTGTGTACTCACGTAGATAAGTAATATAGAGAAGACAAAGATCTTTTAGGAGTTCCTGGGTGTTGCAAATGGCTAATGCTGTCAGCCACTAACCGAAAGGTTGGAGGTTCAAGACCACCCAGGGGTGCCTCAGAAGAAAAGCCTGGTGATCTACTTCTGAAAAAGAAGCCATTAAAAACTCTATGGAGCATAGTTCTACTCTGACATACTTGGAGTTGCCGTGAGTCGGAGTCAACTAGATGGCAATTGGTTATATAGATATTTTAAGCCATGTTAAATAATTTTGTTGTCTTATATTCTTAAACAATGAGGCATTAGTGGTTCAGTGGTAGAATTCTTGCCTTCCACGCAGGAGATCTGGGTTCGATTCCTGTCCAATGCACCTCATGTACAGCCACCACTTGTCTGTCAGTGGAGGTTTATGTGTCGCTATGATGCTGAATAGGTTTCAGCGGAGCTTCCAGATGAAGATGGGCTAGGAAGAAAGGCCTGGTGATCTTTTTCCAAAAACTCAGCCAATGAAAACTCTATGGATCACAATAGTCCAATTCTCAACCAATCATGGGATGGTGTAGGACCAGGCATCATTTCATTCCATTGTTCATGGGGTTGCCATGAGTTGGGGGCCAACTCAGCTGTAGCTAACAACAGCAACCACATATAGTTATACATTCTGTTACCTGTTGAAAGATATTTTAATTTAATTTTTTAATACGTTGCTCAACTAAGGGACTTTATTTCATGCTCTATCCAAATAGAATGATGAAAAAATCTAAGTTAGTAGCACTGGAACATATCAGAAAGTATTCTTCAAGATAGAAATTTATTTGGAATATACCTGTTCTATACTCTTGTTGTCTGGTTCATGGAAGCTGTAATTATGGCTGCAGGGTCTGGGGACAAAAAGCTTGCATTCAAATTCTTGCTCTTCTAGTTCTTACTTGTATCATGTTAGCCACAAACTTCTCCCTAATCTATAACCCTCACCTGTAAAACAGAAATAAATAATAACCTCATTGGAAGAATTAAATGAGATAAACCTCAAAATCTATAAAAAGTGTTTAGCTCAATCCCAGTCTCAGAATTGTTGTTGTTATTGTTGGTAGGTGCTGTCCAGTTACCTCCAACCCTATGTATAACAAAACAAAATGTTATCCATCCTGTGCCATCCCCACAATCATTGCTACGTTTGAGCCCATTGTTGCAGCCACTGTGTCAATCCATTGTGTTGAGGGTCTTCCTCTTTTTCACTGACCCTCTGCATTACCAAGCATGATGTCCTTCTCCAGGGGCTGGTCCCTCTTGATAACATGTCCAAAGTAAGTGAGACAAGATATCACTATCCTCGCTTCTAAGGAGCATTCTGGCTATACTTCCTCCAAGATTTGTCCCTTCTTCTGGCAGTTCATGGTATATTCAATATTCTTCACCAACACCGCAATTCAAATGTGTCAATTCTGCTTTGGTCTTCTGAAGTCTCAGAATAAGCACTCATAAATGTAATCTAGTAGTTTCAGAATAAGGGGACCTGGTGGCACAACAGTTATGCATTCAGCTGCTAACTGAAAGGTTGGTGGCTTGAACCACCCAGTGCACCATGGAAGAAAGACCGGGTGATTTGCTTCTGTGAAGATTAACCAAAACCCATTGCCATCAAGTCAATTCCAACTCATAGAGACCCTATAGGACAGAGTAGAACTGCCCCATAGGCTTTCCAAGGCTGTAATCTTTACAGAAGCAGGCTGCCACATCTTTCTCCCACGAAGCAGCTAGTGGGTTCGAACCACCAACCTTTCAGTTAGCAGCCGAGCGCTTAACCACTATGCTACCATGGCTCCTTTCCATAAAGATTACAGCCTAGAAAACCCTATGAGGCAGTTCTACTCTGTCACATAAGGTCACTATGAGTTGGAACTGACTCAATGGGGCCCAGCAACAAGTTCAGAATAGTGTATGAGTAGAAGTACATTGCAGCGTGTAGAAAGATGTCAAACAGAAACAAACTATTCTTGAATGCTTTTCTCATAATGGAGTGTTTATACTTGTGGAGATACTAGTGTGTCTCCACAAATATAAACTGTTTAAAGCAGGGGTTCTCAAACCCTGAGTATGCACCAGAGTGCCCTGCAGGGCTTGTTAAAATACGCATCGCTGGGCCCCACCTCTGAGGGTCACTCCATAGGTCTAGGGTGGAGCCCAAGTATTTGCATTTCTAATGTGTTCCCAGGTGATGCTGATGCTGCAGATCTGAGACCATTCTCTGAAAACTACTGAGTAGAAGTGTTTATTTGCACAGTGCACCAAAGACATTGTTGATAGATACGAAAATAACAGCAGTACTTGCTTGGAGCTTATAAGTTCCTATCTTTCAGGAAGTAAAAAGCCTCTAATAAATGAAACATTAAAAGATATGATTTATCTTTAATTGGAAAAAAAAGGTATAGGGCTCTGCCCAAATGTAAAACGTCAGTGCACTTTTAAGGAACTAGTCTGAGGTCGCACATGAATCCAAAGAAACTGTAGGGTTAAGATCAGGAATCCTGGAGCCAGACCAAATACTTTCTCCTCCAGAAAGTGATATCTCCCCTAACTCAATAAAGTCGTATGTTTATATACTGACCAAATGGGCCATTGGTCTGCTGGTTAACCCTAACAATGTTTTACCAGTTTCCCTTAATCTCCCTGTCTCTCACACACACACACACATACATACGCACACACGGACATGCGTAAGTAAAATATTTAAATCCTCTGAAAATATTCATAAAATACATTTGAAAATGACAGATTTCCTTTTCTCAACTGTCTTCCAATGGTAGAAAGATACCTCAAATTGGTATTTCAGTAAAATCTGTGCACACTTCAACAACTGATGTCTTTCTTTGCATCGAGGATGGCAGAAGATCACAGCGTATACTGTAAGGATATAAATGTTTGTCATGGGCTTCTATGACTGATGCCACCTCATTACAAATGGAAATATAACTCTTTTTTTTTTTTTTAAATAACTTCTGCCACTGACTTCTTTCCTACATGGCCTTTATAAAGTGTAATGTGTATGAACTCATAATTGAACCCATCCATCTCTGCTGTCTTTTACATTTTTCTAGAGTTTTCCAAAAGCAACATAAACTGTACTTTTTGCTCTTGTATAGCTTATCATTCCATCATTTTGAGATTTAACATTCTAACAATATCACCATTAAGTGTGAGCCTATAAAACTTCACTTAACACCAAGGAAGGTACACAATACCACACTGTTACAGTTCTATTGATATTTGTGCATGTCTTCAGGTTTTTGTGTGCATTTTACTGAGACATTTAGATTTAGATTCTCTCACTCTCAGCTCTTGTATGGACTGCAGCCAAACCTTTAGGAGTTGGGAGCATAGTTCTGTTCAATCCTCACCCCCGTTTTCATGGTTTTCTGTTTGTTCTATTCTACCATCTGATCTAGAGCCGCCTGGCACTGCCAGTGTACCGCTTAGAGTTCAGAACTCTTGGCGACGTTCCCAGTTTTTCTCCCAGTCAGGTAAACAGCATACTGGGTAGCTGTATTTCTTTTGTTTTAAAAAAAAAAAAAATCCATGTTGGGGCAACCAATGATGTCTGGTATTTGTCTGCATTTCTGCTTTCAGAGAAAAATGCTTGTTTCTGACACACAGTTGGCAAAGAGCTAGTTCTTTGATATGTCGATACCAATTACACTAAAATGGGAGGAGGGGGAGAAATTCAGAGAATTTTATTTTAATTTTGAGATGCCAAAGAAACAATATTATTCATCTCTTTCTTTATGTCTTTTTTTTTTTTTTTAAACAAAGATCACAAGCATTTACCAGCAACTATAGGGTTGCTGTGAGTCAGAATCGAGTCAACGGCAACATGTTTGGTTTTGGGTAATGGTTCTCTTGTTAACTGTGTCACTGTCTGTGTTCTCTCCATGATGTCTAGCTTTTCTCTGTATGACACTTCTCTATGGCAGCTAGTGAGGGAACTGGTCGACCAAGCCAGGATGCAAGGTGCATTAAAAACAGCACTAATAGGAATAGTTTTTGCTTCCTGTAGCCTAGAGCCTGGTGCTACTTGATGTGATCGATCCCATTGCACCAGCCACAACTTCTTTTGGTGGTGGGTACAATCTTCAGGGGTCTGCTTTATCATGATTTGCTAATGCTCTTAGCTTATGGAAAAAAAAAAATTGGTTTGAAACTGACATAGGAACGACGCTCCACTAAGAGAATCAAAAAGAAAGACAGTTAGAAGCTACTCAACATCATGATCTTTATTTTCTTTCTTTCCTTCTTCCTGTGCAGTGGATTCTCCAAGCAGTGAAAAGTCACCTGCAGCTACACCTGTAAGTAACTTTATGAAATAAGAACATGGGTTTAGTGTGATCCCAAAGCCAACGTGCATGGCACAGACCTCAAGAGTATAATATAACCCATTGATTTCCATTTTAAGTTGCATCAAGACAGTAATGTCAAATTGTTCTTGTACCCCTTGGGCGGGGTGGAGAGGAAGGGTGCTCCAAACAGATACATTCTCATCTCTGGCTGATAGAAAATAGAGCAAGAAGAGACAAATTACTGACCTACATAAGTGAATTTTCTGAAAATACCCAGCCAAAACTGATGTCCTTTCGATGGTAAATGGCCCTTCACAGAATAGGAAAGTAAAAGAAACTGCAAAATGAAAGAAGCTTTGAAGGAGAAATAAGCAGTTGGTTATGCTGACCTGAATAGATTTGTGTCATTTTCAGCCAGACTTGGACTTGCCCGAGGCTATGGGGACTAGTAAGCGGAGGGAGGAAGGAGATGCATCACCCCAGCTTGGGATAATTCCATTCATTGATTTAACAAACATTCACTGAGGGCCTAAACATACAAGGTGGCTGGGATATTTAGGAGGATAAGGAACCCTCGCTGCCCTTAAGAAACCCTCAAGCCAGAGGAAGATACAAACCTGTAAACAGATAAATTATAAAACAAAGTGGGCTACGTACTCTCCGTTCTGACTTTCTTTAGCTCCTTTTATGTAAAATATCTCTTTTTTATGATTTATTTTTGTTGTTGTTGAGAATATACACAGCAGAGCATACACCAATTCAACAATGTAGAATATGTAGAAATTGTTGAATTGGTATAAAATCTCTTTCAAAATAGTTATCACATTGACTTGTGCTGATAATTAATTTATATATACACCATCCCTCCCTACCCCCACACCCTTCACTCTATTTTAAACTCCACTAGGCTAGAACAGAACCCTAGTGGCACAGTGGCTAAGAGCTCGGCTGCTAACCAAAAGGTTGGCAGTTCGAATCCACCAGCTGCTCCTTGGAAACACTATGGGACAGTTCTGCTCTGTCCTATAGGGTTGCTATGAGTTGGGATTGACTTGATGGCAATGGGTTTGGTTTTTCAGGTTAGGCTAGAATAATCTCTTGGCTAGCTAGTATCCCCACCTGGCCCAAAATAAGTGCTCAGCAAATATTCCCTGAAGGAAGAAGCAAGGTCACAGTTTGTTTCTTCCTCTTGTTTATTACAGTGGTATTTTTCTTCTTAAAATGCTCATTGCTTTTCTGTCTTAGTTTTTAACAAATATTCTGTGTTCCATCCCTTTACCCCATATTTCCTCTTCCTATCTGCCTACTCCTTACATGACTTGTTCTTAAGATTGTTATTGTTGTGTGCAGTCAAGTCGATTCCAACTCATAATGATCCTACATGACAGAGTAGAACTGCCCCATAGAGTTTCCTAGGCTGAAATCTTTATGGGAGCAGATTGCCAAGTCTTTTCTCCCTCAGAGCAGCTAGTGGTTCAAACCGCCAACCTTTCGTTTATGCTTAACCATTGCACCACCAGGGCTCCTTCTATTCTTAAGATTACTACCTAGGGAAATCTGAAAACTAAATAATTCCTAATTGTTTCTCTTGTTTCCCTATCACTTTATTCACATATACTCTTTTCCTTCACAAGACCAAAAAGGGTCATGCCTCTGAGAGAGAGGCATGTTTAAACCGCTTCAAAGTCTTAGGAAACTTCCAACACCATTAAACACCAGTAGAATTTTCCATCTGGACTCCAGAGAACTAATTTCAAAAGTTGTCCAAAGAAATATAAAAAACTTTGGATTATATAAAATTCAGTAGTCCCCCCTCCCCTGCTGTCTTAGTCATCTAGTGCTGCTACAACAGAAATACCACAAGTGGATGGCTTTAACAAAGTGAAATTTATTTCTTCACAGTAAAGTAGGCTAAAAGTCCAAATTCAGGGCATCAGCTCTGGGAGAAGCCTTTCTCTCCCTGTCAGCCTTTTCATCAAAGTTCCCCCGGACTAGGAGCTTCTCCACGCAGGGCCCCGGGTCCAAAGGACACACTCTGCTCCTGGCACTGCTTTCTTGGTGGTATGAGGTCCCCGTGTCTCTCTGCTCACTTCTCTCCTTATATCTCAAGAGGTTGCCTGAGGACACAATCCAATCTTGTAGATTGAGTCCTGCCTTACCAACACAACTGCCACCCATCCTCCCTCATTAACATCATAGAGGCAGGATTTACAACATATAGGAATATCACACAGTACCAGGAATCGTGGCCCAGCCAAACTGATACACACATTTTTGGGGGGACATAATTCAATCCATGACACCTGTCCTGTGCAGAAGCTTTCAAAGCCTTTAATATGCTAATGTGCTATGCAGTGTGATTGCTAAGAATGGCATATAGGAGGTGTATTTCCCTGACTTATTTGCCCACCTGTCTTGAGTGACTATTTTCAAGGCGTCATGGCCATCCCAACCATTTGCAGGATCCACAACAAGAGTACAAATTAAGATCCACATTCCATGTTTATCAATATATTAGTTATAAGTCAAGAAATGCGTGTGACCTGGGCTGCCTTCTCAACCAGGGATCCCATTCCGCCTGGAGGTTCTTTCTGGGCTAGCCCAGCCACCATGTGCCTGAGCGATCACATGGATCTGCTGGGGCAGTGCAGGGCAGAAGGTGGGCCTGGCCCATCTAAACTGGATCGCCAACTGACCTTGTCCAGCTTCCCAGGCAGCCAGGGTAGGTAGATTCTGCCTGCTCCTCCAACCCCCAACCTTCTCCACCCACCAGCAGTCCCCTAACTCTGACTCGTTTTTCCAATTCAGAATTCCTAGGCAGTTCTAAACCAAGAAAACGAATCAAACCAGCTGCCGAGTCAATTCTGACACATAGTGACCCATGTGTGCAGAGGAGAATTACCCTATAAGGTTTTCAAGGCTATGATCTTTTAGAAGCAGATCCCCAGACCTTTCTTCTGAGGCGATTTTGGGTGGGTTTTAACTGCTAATTTTTGGATTAGCAGTCGAGTGCCTAACCATTTGCACCACCCAGGGACTAGACAGTTCTAAGTGCCTCCCAAAACTACCCCATCAGAACAGAGGGAAGGAAGGGAGCCCAGCTGATTAGGAAACATGGTCTGCCTAAGTACCTACTCTGGGTGATTAGCACTGCAGCCCCTCATTTGCTGGTTTCCCAGGGAGAGGCTGTGATTTCTCCTCCCCCCCCCGCATCCGCTGAGTCCTGTATTCTGTGTCCTTGGCACCTGCTTCTGTTCATGCATCCCTCTCCTGTTACTCCTGTTCACTCATTTAGTTATTGTTGATAGATGCCATCAAGTCCATTCTGACTCGTAGTGACCCTATAGGACAGAGAAGAACTGCCCCATAGGGTTTCCAAGGAGTGGCTGGTGGATTTGAACTGCTGACCTTTTGGTTAGCAGCCAAGCTCTTAACCACTGCGCCATCAGGACTCCTACTCATTTAGTTACCAAACTCAAAAAAACCTTTACCAAAAAAAAGATCTTTAGATTTGAGTATGTGTGTTAAGTGGGGCCTGTGGCAGGGGACTCCTTGCCTGGGTCTTAGGCAGTACTAGTGGGCATGGGTGAGTTAAATAATCCACTTTAGGGAAGCTGGCATAGGAAAAAAAACACACCACTCCCGTTAAGTTGATTCTGACTCACAGTGACCCCAGAGGGTTTCCAAGGCTGTAAATTTCTACGGAAGCAGACTGCCACATCTTTCTCCAGTGGTGCTGCTGGTGGTTTCGAACCGCCAACCTTTCAGTTAGCAGTCCATCGTTTTAACTACTATGCCACCAGGGCTCCTATAGGAAAGCAAAATTAAAATGAAAGATAAGCTTTATAGTACTGAGGGAGCCCTGGTGGTGCAGTGCTTAAGCACTGGGCTGTTAACCGAAAGGTTGGCACTTCAAACCCATCAGCTACTTGACCAGGGAAAGATATGGCAGTCTGATTCCAGAAAGATTACAGCCTTGGAAACCCTGTGGAGCAGTTCTACTCTGTTCAGTAGGGACAGTAACAGGTTATAGTATTGCAAACACCACTTCTTTTAAAAAGCTGCATATCTGTACAGTTCTGCTGAAATAATCAGTCCCATTTGCTTGGCATATGGGGCCCAGGATCAATATGCAGAATGAGCATCTTATGCTCAGGAGCATTAATGCATTTAAGAAATCACATCTAAGAGAAATGAAGCAAAAGCCGTGTCAGGCCAGTGGCTGCTAATTATTCCATGTTACCATTAGCTCCAAAAAAGTTCAGTGAATCTTACCAGCGTCTCGGAAGAAAACCAAGACGGACTAAGATTTCAAAATGGCTTCAGCCAAATAAAGAGAGTCTTTAGATATGTGAAAGCTTATGCTTCAGCATTTCTATCCGGGAGCTAGGCCGGAGGCTGATTGTGTTCATGTGCCTTTGCCTGTCTTTGGAGGGCATGGCTCAACTCTGATCATGATTCTGTTTTTCTAAGCAGTTTAAATTCTGGGCATGGGACCCGGAAGAGGAGCGCAGGCGACAGGAAAAATGGCAACAGGAGCAGGAGCGTTTGCTTCAGGTAGGACTGGATTTGCTGCCCCCCCCCCATTTTTTTTTTTTTTAAGATTATGCCCTTTTAATTTCTGTTGTATTCGATAGATTTATAGTGTAAGAAATGGATGGAATTGGATTCATCGCTTAAGTTGAGTCTAAGTCAGTTTCATCGTGTGTCCATGTAGCAGAATGTCCTGGGTCTGATTGCCAGAGTTACACTGGTGAGCAGGAGAGGAAACGTTCATATGAACACTTTTGAAAAACTCCTAGGGCTGGTCCACCCATTCCTCACTCCTCAGTCCCCAATCAAATTCCAGTCCAAGGAGCAGTGGGGACAAATTATTAAAAGGCTGCTTGATGACACACATGAGAAATAAAGGTTGGCCTCAGTCTAGTTCCATGAGTAGAAATGTCTGCTCCGTCTTTGAGGAAAAACTGCTGATTTTCTGATGAAATTCTAGAAGGATTCTGGGGGTAAATGTATAGTCTTCACACTTGTTTCATGTCAGTTTTGTAGATTTAACAGGGCCTCTGAAAAGTAACCCAGTAATTTAGAAAGTAACCTATGCTGAGTACTTGGGATGAGCCAGGCACTGTGGTTGGTGCTTGACTTGACATATTTCATCTCATTTAATCCCCATACAACCATTCAGAGTAGATCTTATAAGCCTCAGTTTGCATTTGAAGAAACTGAGGCTTACAGAAGTTAATTTCTCAAGGTCATGCACATAACAAATGTTGAGCCCATATTCCAATCCCTGTCTGTATGATTATAAAACTCATGCTCTTTCCAGTATGCTCCCAGTAGTACTAAATTTTACCAAAAAAAAAGGAAAAGAATGCTAAACCTCGTTCATTGTGATACCTTTTTGTAGCTGTGTAGAAAGCAATGATTAATGCAAGTTTATTTTACTAATTTTTTTTCTTGTTTTAATCCTTTTGGCTTAATTTCCAGGGGACAGAGAGAGGGTGTTTAGCTAGTTAACTAATTATGGTAGTGTGGCTTTAGCTCTGTAGGAGCCCTGGTGGCACAGTGGTTAAGCCCTCCGCTGCTAACCAGCAGGTCAACAGTTCGAACCTACCAGTTGCTCCGTGAGAGAAAGATGTGGCAGTGTGCTTCTGTAAAGATTACAACTTAGGAAACCCTATGGGACAGTTCCACTCTATCCTATAGAGTCGCTATGAGTTGGAATCGACTCGACAGCAATGGGTTGTGCTTTAGCCCTGCCAGTTGAGTCTGGCACTTTTACAAATTGCAGAGAGTTTGGCTTTTAATAGGAGCCTTGGTAGCACAATGGTTAAGCACTCAGCTGCTAACTGAAGGGTCAGCAGTTTGAACCCACCCAGCAGCTTTGTGGGAGAAAAGACCTGGCGATCTGCTCTCATAGAGAGTATAGACTAGAAAACCCTGTGGGGCAGTTCTACTCTTTTCTGTAGGGTCGCTGTGAGTTGGAATTGACTTGATGACACACAATAACAGGCTTTTAATACCAAAATGTTAGTAAGATCCAGATTGAGCAAATTCCCAGAGCTTCTGGGACTTCTTGGCCCATGGGAAGGCCTCAGAGAAGCCCTGGCCATCTGCTGTTCTCTTAGAAATCAGGTACTATTCCCCAGCTAAATGGTCAACAGTCAAGATCAGAAGTTCCACAGAATACAGTAGTAGACAGATGAGTGTGGCGCCCATCGTGAAGTGCTATTCCTATGTAAAAGGTGACCATGGTACAGATGCTGGCATCAAGCATATGTAGTACTCCTGTCCCACCAAACTGTTACCTGGTTTGGCTTCATGGGTAATGGGCTTTGGGACCAAGGTATTCACAGGCGAAGGGTGTGTCACAGATGTACTGCATCTTTCAGTCCCTGTATCATCAATTGGCACAAATAGCTAAGTGCTCCACTGCTAACTGAAAGGTTGGCAGTTTGAACCCACTCAGCAGCTCTGCAGGAGAAAGACCTGATGATCTGCCTCTAAAGATTACAGCCAAGAGGAGGCAGGGCCAAGATGGCTGAGTAGTCAGACACTTTCAGTGGACCCTCTTACAACAAAGACCCGAAAAAACAAGTGAATCGATTATATATGGCAATCTGGGAGCCCTGAATATCAAAGGCAAAGTTGAGAAACTGGACTGAGTGGGAGGGGAAGGGAGAAATAGCTCAGAAGCAGTGAGGAGTTGCCCGACTTGACCTGGCAAGAGTCTGAGCCCTTCAGGCCTGAGCAGCTCATGGGTGAGCGGAGAGGCAGGCAAGCGGTGATGCTCAGGAGGCACGTTTTCTGCACCAGGAGAGACCCAGTGCCAGAGTGTCTACACGGACACACAGAACCAGTGAGAAGCAGCCCTCATCAGCGAAAGATAAGTATTTGCATAGGGCTTGCCACGAGGATAAAAAACACCGCCTTAGGGAAACACCTCTCTCCCACTTACCTCCCCGCTCCCTGTTCTGCACTGGGTTCTGGAGTGGCTTCAGCAATTGCCAAGTCCCCTGGGCCAGAAGTAGGATCCGTCACACACCCTGAGCCATTCTCCCTGTCTTGGAGAGTGAACAAATTAACAAACAGGAAAAAATAAACTGCCGGCTCCCCTAAGCCAGGAACCCAGGGTAGGCACAGCTTCTTTGCCTAGGCACAGGCATAAGGGATCCACAGACTTTTAGTGCCTTTCCGCCTACTTATGTGGGCCCATCTCAACCGTGTAAGCCCTCATTATTGCAGTGCAACAGGGTATATAACAGAAGTCTAACTTCAACTGTTTCAGCTGTGAAGTGGCAAGTTCTTGAAATTTGACACTGCTCTGCGCATTAAGCAGGGTCTTCACCTACCCACATCAGGGGCCTGAGGACTCATGGCTCCACCCACGCCACCTAGCCACCTGCGATAGGGGCCCGTGAATAACCGGTGCCCCCCAGTCCTTACAGCCAACAGCATTAGGTGCTCATAGTCCAGCTGCAAAACCCAGCCACCTACACGCTCTAGGGAACAGGGACACACCTTCCTCCTGGACACTCAGGGGCGGCCATCACCCCCTGCCTTGCTCAGAGTGTGTCGCCCTGCTGCAGCCAGCTGCCTGTGCCTACACCAATCACCCATGCCTGTCTAGGACTGTAAGTGAGAGCTTACACCACACACTTGGTGGCTATCTACCTGGGCACCTGAGCTGAATCCATACAGGAAAAGTGGGTGGACTCCTGAGCTCACATACCTAGTAACATATCTAACCACCTGGTGACAGGACATTAGAGCTTCAAAGGTGCCAATAATCAAACTAGCTCATACGAGCAGGCTATTTGGGCATATCAAAACAAAACAGGAAGCTAGGACACAGTAAGCAACATAAAATAAATAAATACAACAACTTATTGATGGCTCGGACACAACAGTCAATATCAAATCACATAAAGAGGCAATCCATGATGGCTTCAGCAAGCTCCCAAAATAAAGAATCTAGAAATTTTTCAGAGGAGGAAAATTTCTTGGAATTACTGGAGGCAGAATACAAAAGATTAATATACGGAGCTCTTCAAGAAATTAGGAAGGAAATTAAGCAAAATTCAGAACACACAATAGAGGAAATTAAAAAGATTAAAGAAGAGCATAATGACAAATTAAACAGGCTGCAAGAATCCATAGAGAGGCAGCAATCAGAAATCCAGAAGATTAACAATAAAATGTCAGAATTAGACAACTCAGTAGAAAGTCATAGGAGCAGAATTGAGGGAATGGAAGTCAGAATTAGAGAGGTTGAAGATAAAGCACTTGACACCAACTTATTTGAGAAAAAATCAGATAAAAGGATTAAAAAAATGGAGAAAACCTAAGAATTATGTGGGACTCTATCAATAGGAATAACCTACAAGTGATTGGAGTACCAGAATGGGGGGGATAACAGAAAATATAGAGAGAATTGTTGAAGATTTGTTGGCAGAAAACTTCCCTGATATTGTGAAAGATGACAAGATATCTATCCAAGATGCTCATCGAACCCCACATAAGGTAGATCCCAAAAGAAAGTCACCAAGACATATTATAATCAAACTTGCCAAAACCAATGATAAAGAGAGAATTTTAAGAGCAGTTAGGGATAAAGGAAAAGTCATCACAAAGGAGAGTCAATAAGAGTAAGCTTGGACTACTCAGAAGAAACCATGCAGGCAAGAAGGCAATGGGATGACATATATAAAGCCTTGAAGGAAAAAAACTGCCAGCCATGAATTATATATCCAGCAAAACTGTCTCTCAAATATAATGGCGAAATTAGGGCGTTTCCAGATAAACAGAAGTTTAGAGAATTTGCAAAAACAAACCAAAATTACAAGAAATACTAAAGGGAGTCTTCCGGTTAGAAAATCAGTAATATTAGATAACAACCCAAGACTAGAACACAGGACAGAGCAACCAGATATCAACCCAGATAGGGAAGACACAAAAGTAAATGAAAGCTAAAACACTGAAAATAGAGAAACAGATGTCAATATGTAAAAGATGGCAACATTAAAACTAAAAGGAAGGACTTAAAAAATGTAGACATAGATTTTTCCTATGGAGAAGAAGCCAAGGTGATATAAAGAAATAAAAGACTGGTATAAACTTAGAAAAATAGGGGTAAATATTAAGGTAACCACAAAGGAAACTAACAATCCTACAAGTGACAATAAAAAAACTAGAAAAATATAAAGACTCAGCAAACACAAAATCAACAACAATGAAAAAGATGAAAAGAAAATATATAAAGAAAAATGACTTAGCACAGAAAATTAAGCGTAACAAAGAAACTGTGAACAACACAAAAAAAAAGACATCAAAGTGACATTAAACTCATACCTATCAATAATTATGCTGAACGTAAATGGACTAAATGCACCAATAAAGAGACAGAGAGTGGCAGATTGGATAAAAAAAACCATGACCCATCTATATGCTGCCTACAAGAGACACACCTTAGAGTTCAAGACACAAACAAATTAAAACTCAAAGGATGGAAAAAAATATATAAAAAACAACAACACTCAAAAAAGAGCAGGAGTGGC